GACAGATCCCCCTAGAGAATGGCCAGAGCATTCATCGCAGCTGGCCCTGGGGAGAATGGGATGGTCTGGGATGGGCAGGTAGGGGGTTGTTTGTCCTGTGTGGTGGTGCCTGAGCTATTTGGATGTGATACCCTGGTCACCGGCCTTCCAGACCTACCTCCCCAAGGCTCTCTGTCCGGGAGGCAGCTAGAGCTACTATGGGGATAAAGAATGCCTCTTCCGAGCACAAAGAGATTGAGATAAAAAATAAAAATAAAAAACAAAAAACAAAAACAAAATGAATGTCCAAGATGCTGGTGCTGGGGGCTGAGGTAAATGACAGCCTGCAAAGGTAACAGGAAGGAGGGTCCCTCCCAAGTGTCAGTTCAGTGCCCGAAATGTCCTTGACACTTGGGAACTTTGGAGGGGGCAGAAAAACTCTGATGGGAAGGAACACAAGTCTAGGTTTGGCTCTGCGGGGGTGGGGGCCAGACGGGGGAGTGAGGGAGCCAAACCAAACTGCTGCTTTGGGGACCAGACAACTCGGCAATCCGAAACCAGAGCCCAGGTCACTAGCAGAAAACCAAAGCGCTGGGGAATCGCATTTCTAAAGTGCCAGTACTGCACCCACCGGGGCAGCTGGGGGGTGGGGTGGGGTGAGGGTGGGGTGGGTGTGGAAAGCGGGACCGAACCGTCAGTCGGTACCGGGTTCCAAGGACCCTTCCCAGTCCTCCTGTTTTCATCTCCTGTTCCGGAAGCTAAGCTGAAGCTGGGAAACCCAGGATAAAAAGTCCTCTCAGTTTGGGTGCCCGGCACCTTACGCTCAGAGCTCAGGCTGTATTCCCCACCAGGCAAGCAAGCGGTTTGTTTACAAAGCTAGCTAAGCTGCAAAGGACCTGGACCTGGGCTCTTTGAGTGCGTGTGGCCTGTGGTTGCCCGGGGGCCGGTCCTCTGCCCGGGATCTCTGGCTTCTCAGCAGAACCCCCGGCCTCCACTCCCTTTCCTCCGCTTCCAACTGGAGTCGCTTAGAAGACCTGAAAAGCTGCTTAGCAGAGGTTTCTAGAAACCTAACAGGATGAACCAGCATAGAGACAGACCAACACTGTCCTCTCCGAATCCCCACCTGCAGCGTCCATCCAGCCCCTGGGCCTTTGCTCCTGGCTGGAGAGAATGATTGCAGACACTGGAGATTCCAGGGGAACTGGGGCTGGGAGCCTGAGACACACAGATTGTCCCCGGACCTGGCAGGAGAAGGAAGCCCGGTTGTTAGCGCTGCGCCTGCTCAGTTAACCGCTCTAGTGTTTGGCTGAGGACGGATTAAGCGCGCGTGGGATTCCATCTACGTGGAATCGTAGGCCCTCACCCTAAAGTCTTCACCTGGTGGGAAGAAGTCGACATTCCAGGTCAAAGCCATGCTTTGACATCACACCACAGATTTACACCAACATTAACAATACTGCCCTCTGAAGAATGGAAGCGGCCAATCCCAAACACACCCACGATTTCTCCGCATCCGGGACCGCAGGTAGTGGTGACACCTGAATTACCAATGACGGTTGCTTTGGTTGGTTGATGTTCGGGTTCCCTCCATCCACCGGAGCTCGGGTCAATGACTTAATCATTGTGTCTGCTTTGTACCACGGGGTTGGAAATCAATCGAACGCACTTTACAGGGTTAATTGCGAGAGCGACTAAGGTCACTGGATGGGGTGCTTTCCTCAGAGTGCCTGGGCCCAGCGCCGCCGCACCCCCCCCCCCACCTCTGCCAGGACACGCGAGCGCGCGCGCCCCTTTGCACGCCATCGATTTCTATCGTGGTTATTATGTGCGCTTTGAACGCCCACATCTGCAACATATATTTCTTGATTATACGCATCTTGATTATAAAACAAGCAAGTGCATTTTACATCCGGAACTGTCTTGCGAATGAAACTTCTAAATCCAAATTGGAAGAGACGTCCACAGATGGAGCACATACAAGTACACGCAAACACACACATGGTTCTCTAACACCTGCGGCTCCTGGCCGCAGAGTATCAGCACCCCGCAGCTCCTTCTAGGTACTAAGGTCTGTGGCTACATCTAAAAGAGCCCAAGCCACCACTGGGGATGGGGCGGGGGCAAATACTAACCCCCTCCCCATAGCCATTCTCTTGGCTGGCTGCCAAGAGGCCAAATTTAGAAACCAGCGAGGCAGAAAGTGTGCTGATGGGAAGGTTACAAGTCTCAGAGAGCCCCAAGGAGCCTGTGTCTTGGCTTAGGGGAAAAGTCGGAACTAGGGTTTTCCTTGAATGGATTTTTTTTTTTTTTTGAAAGGCCTACACATATTTCGGGACATATGAAAAGGTGGGTCTCAGGACAGTTCGGGTTCAGAAACAGACTCCGTGCGAACCTACACACCGGTGCAAACACCCCTCACTACTTCAGGACATTTTAGACACGGGAGCTTGGGGGTGGGGGCCAGTGGGGCGAGATGCAGCAAGGTCGCGACCCCTGCCTGTGCCCAAGCACGCCCTTCGGCCCCTGCAATTAGCGCCGGGAGGTCAGGAAGAACTCGGACGCCTCTACCCGCAGCTCAAAGACCAGCAAAGGTGACCCCGGCCCCTCCCGTCGGGTCTCAGACGCCAGCGCAGCCTGGAGCCGATCTTCCCTACGGGCGGGCGGGCGGGCGGGCGCCCAGAGGGCTCTGGCCAGTTCCCGCATTCATCACCGTATACCCACCGATCTGCAAGTTGCTCAGCCCTTCAGGCCGCAACAGCTGACCACTGCCGGGGGCCAAGAAGGCCTGGTGGTTCCGGGAGCTCTGGCCTTCCTTTGTCCCTGCAGACGCGGCCAGGAGAAAGAAAAAAAAGAAAGAATGAAAACCCCCAAATTAGGAGTTTGTATAGTACAAAAGCGAACACCTCCGCAAAGGGAAGTTGGTTCGAGTTGTGTCTATGTGGGTAGAGTTCGGGGTGGGTGTGGGGTTTCTTTTTTATCTGCTGCTCTTCAATCCAGGTTCCCCTGTCCTGCGTCTACACATTTCTAGCCAGAGAATAAGGAACCACGGTCCTCTCGTTGAATTTCCAAAAATCCCTTGGAAATCTCATCTGAGGCCCAAACAGGGATGAAAGGATTGGCTCTTCTTCCGAAAGGGCTGAGGAGGTGAGGTGGGGAAGGGGCGGGGTGTCCGCGGGGGAGAGTAGGTCAGATTCTGGGTGGTTCCGTGAGAAAGGGGCGCATCGGTGAAGCCCTCAAGTTCCAGACTCCCCAAGTCTCTGGAGTACCCAGTCAGCCGCTGTTAGGCAGGGCGCAGTCGTGGGTCAGACAGATAGGTGGCACTCGAAGCCTGAGAGAGAGAGGGAGGGAAAAGAAAAAAAAAAAAAAAAAAGACCCAGGCGCCGGCCCCTTGTGGCCTCGGCAGCCGCCGCCACCACCACCATAAAGCCCGCGGCGAGATTGCGACCGGCGCCAGGTGAGTAATAGGCACAGAAATCCAGAGAGATTGCGAGCGGGTCACCCCCGGTCCATCAGCGCCACAAGAGTTATACATTAACAGCACAATATATAAATAAGATACAGAGGAGATTATAAAGAAGACGAGAAGAAAAGAAGAAAAGAAGGGAGGGAGGAAGCTCTTAGGAGGGGCCGGGGACAGGTTCGGGCACTATCCCCAAATTTGGGGGATGGAGACGGGAAAGAGAAAGAGGAAATCTGACTGAGAAAGCCAAACAAATTCTGTTTGGTTTGGTTCCGTTTCTGCTTTTCTCCGCATTTGAAACCCAGCTATTTTCTCCCCAATTTGGGAGCTCGCGCAGCGGGAGGCCGTGAGCCAACTACACACCTTCCCCAAGCGGACGGCCCCGAGTTTTGGTCCAGCGGAGGGCCGGCCTCTCGGGTCCCCTGGTCCCCCTAAGCACTCTCCAGTCACTAGTCTTCTCCCTCCTCCCTAGACGGCTGGCGGGGGGGGGACGGGGGGGGGGAAGCAATGGGGGTCCCCACGTGCCTATGCTCGAACAGGGGTTTTTGCCCACTCCTCCAAAAGGTCTAGAGCTGGGTCCTCTTCCAAACCCCGGAGGAGGGAGGGGAGGGGCCCCCCTCGTGACCCGCCGCCGTTCAAGAGGCCTGAAGGTGACAGAGACGTCAGTCCGGGCTGGCGGGCTCCCGGGTGGGGGTTGGGGGGTGGCCGTCAGCCGCCAGGCAGGCTCCGGCAGGGTCTTTGAGTCAAGGCCCCCAGGGCATGAAAGTCCTAAGGGCTAACTGTAGAGAACATTCCCCTTGCCCGCCCCCAGAGGAGCCTGGAGGGTGGGGAGACCGAAAGACTGACAGTGAGTGGCTCCATCTTTTTTTTTTTATTGAAAGATTCAAAGATAAATTGAACTTCAAAAAGGTAACTTGCCTAACTGCCTTGGCACCTTAAGGTTAAGGAAAGAGTGTGTGGGGGAGTGATGTCAGCTTCCTGGGTAACTTCTGCCTTGGAGGTCCCATGTGGGCTTCTGAATTAAGTGTGCACAACTGTGGGATGGCCTTGTCCCAAGCCTGAATGTCCGTGGGCAAAGAGACACGGCTTAGCCTTTTCCCGTGCCGGATTCGCGGGTGTAAGAATTTTTATTTTGTAACCCATGTCAAAAAAAAAAAAAAAAGGAAGACGAATTAAAACCGAAAACCCTCCCTTGCGCTCCCAGCTTATTGCTGGTCGGATTCCTGTGGGGGGAAAGCCGACTTTGAACACAGGGTAAATCTTCCCCTATTAAAACTGAAGTATATGAAGTTCCTATTTACGAAATTTAATCAGGCCCTTCTCCTCTCCGGCTCCCTAAATTAAAGGGAAAATACTTTCAGATCGATGTGGCCCCCTTCGCAGGAGCAAGGGACTTTTGTTTTTTGCTTTGTAATTTGAGTGACATCTCATTTTGGTTTGCTGGGGGGTGGGGTGGTCTTAATTATTATTTAAAGACGAAAGGAAAGAGCAGGCTGGAAGATCATCCCCCTTCTAGTTTTCCAAGAGACACTCTTGAAGAAACCATTAACACGACTTCAAACTCATTTCAATAGAAATTTATTGAAATTTCACTGATGTTTTTAAGGAGGGGGAGGGATTACAGAAAACTCATCAAGAACTAAACACAAAATATGCCTTCATGGATTTTTTTTTTTTTTTAGTTTTTGCTTTTTTGTTTTGCCTTTCATGGTTGTTTGAATGAGTACCTCTCTGTACACCAATCCAGAACAGCATCAAGATGAATAATAGCAAGAAAACCTCACTTGGATTAGAAGATGCCAGAGCCCAGTGACTTTGAAAAATTAGAACAGTTAAATGGCCGCCTCTGCTCCCACGAACCTCAACCTCTCCCAGGGTGCCAGAGTTTAGGGAATTTCAAGTGGAGCCTGGAAGGGCCAATACCTCCCCAATTTTGGTGAAAATAGGAAACAGTATTCCCAATCCCACCCACCTCCCCCTCCACCAGCTCTTGGACATTAAAAAAAAAATGCAGCCAGCTCTACTTGAAAGCGAGTAGATGGAGGTACAGAAGCCTATGCTTGTTAGTGTGAATTAAGCCATCTCCTGACCTGAATTAAACCAAAAGGCAAAACAAGAATAAAACCTGACAGACACACTCCTATTTACATCCAGCTTATGTACAAGTCAATAAATTAAAGTTTAACTTTCTGAGCGGTCATATTCCACCTATTTACAAGAGATATCAAATAATTACATAAATACTTTGTCCAATAGTCGTGTTTTCCTCTTTTATTATTTCTTTTAAAACCTTGTTATTGCATATACAGTTAAGAGAACTTATAGTCCGACAGGCACACGAAGCCCCTCTACAGCGCTTAGGTAAAATAAACTCCGTTGACTTCACCCCCGCCCCCATCACTTCCCTCTACTCTCACCCCTCCCCCACTTCCTCGGGGTTGCCGATGTGAGCGGGCTTGAGGATGACGGATGATGGGGGATTTTGTTGTTGTTTTTTTCCTTCCGTAAAAGCCAAAAAACATCCAAAATAAAACCCAGAAAACTGTAACATGCAAAAAAAAAAAAAAAAAAAAAAAAAACCGGTATCCTCCTTTCAAACTTCACGATATTAAAAAGACACGGGATTCCTTTAATATAGACCAGGCCAGGGCAAGGCCTTCTCCCTTCCCCAGCAAAGGTACTCAGCAAATGAGTTTTCAGTCTTCATAGACAGTTCCACGGGACTTCGCTTGTCCCAGTGTGGGGTTGGTTTGTTAGTTTGTTTAGGGAAAATAATTATTTTTGTTTCCACTTCACACACACACAAGAAAGGGGGGGGGAGAAAGAGATTCGGGTGTAGTCTCTCAAACACCCACTCTTGTGGCCGGCGGCCTGGCTACCTTGTTCTTCAGCCCCAACTTCCACACCAGCCTCCACAGAAGTCGCTCTAGAAACAAAAGCCAGTCTGCCCCCCCCCCCATCCCACCCCCGTGTCTCAATGCAGCCTGTTTCCACGGCCCAAGAAGACGAGGCCTGTGGGCTCCAGCGCATTCTCTGGAGAGAGCGTGGTGCTCCTTCCCAGACAGAATTGAAAGGGTGGGGATCACCCCCACGTGGAAAGCCTGTGGTTTATTTTACATCCAACAAAGTGCACTGGCAGATTTGACCGAACTGGAATGGAGAGACCTTTGGGGGGAGCGGTTTGTTTTGTTGTTTTTTGTTTTTAAGGGGACCCGCTGCAGGACCTGTCCGGCTTGGCTTCCAAGCCACTGACCAGCCGCTGGATGCTCTGCAGTTCACTGGTAGCCGCCTCCTTCTCTGAGCAGAGTTTGGGTGACAAGGACACTGAACTGGAGGAGAGCGTGGAGGAGCGGCTGTTCAGTTCCGACCCCGAGTCCACGGCCACGGAGGCCGGGCTGGCCGCCAGGGCGGCTGCCTTGCCGTCTAGGGGCCCCGCGGCGGAAGCCATGGATGGTAACGCAGTGGCCAGCAGGCTGCTGCTGTCAGGCACTGGAACGGGGATGGAATATGGACTGTAGCGCAGCCGGGGACGCATGCTGTTCAAGTTGAGGAACGGGTGGCGGTGCACGGAGCTGGAGGCGGCCGCTGAGGAGGCCGCAGCTGCTGCAGCCATGTACGTGTAGGGGTAAGGGAACAGGCTCCCAAAAGGCGACATAGCCAAGCCCTGGGGAAGGAAGAGAAGAAACATGGGCGTCAGAGGATGGGGGATCCCTCTCATCCACCGCCTGCTAGCTGGGGCAAACCACCTCTCTTGGAGGAGTTGGGGGTAGGGGAACAGTACTTTCCACTCAGCTCTGTCACCCTAGGCCACAGATCTCTTGCATGCTAAACCAAGGGGTTAACATACTGGGAACTTCGAAGCTATTAAATCTTCTGCAATATGTCATCCATGGTGCCTGACCCTCGGGGCTATTAGCAAGTTCCCATGAGGGTGACTAGCTGCACCTGTTGAGTGGACTCAGGGAGGGCCTCCACAAAAGGGGCTAGAGTTAAACTCTGGTGCACACATTATCGTGAAATCTTCAGTCTTGTCCTTCTAGATCTTTCCCAAGTAGGAAAAAATAAGGATGATGTGAAAGGAAATGGGAGGGGGGGTTGAAAATGTGTTAATAATTAATATAAAGCCAACAAACCTCTAAGGCTAATGTCCCAGGTGGGAGACTGAGGCAGAAACCCAAACAGAAGCAGAATTTGTACACAAGAGCACAGGGCATGTGCGCTTCCCTTGGAGATGCCTCTACACTTGTCTGTTCAGGCTGACCCCCTTTCACCTGTCACCTGCCTGTCTGGGGGAGACTGGAGGTAAGTTAGAAGTTTAGCCCTTTTTCTAGACTTCCTCCTCCCCCACGGGGGAGGACTGTGTGCCTTTTGGCTCGGGCAAGGGAGACGAATGTGCTCAGACAAAACAAAAGGTCGGAGTAGGCCGAAAAAACCCCAGAGAGGCTTCCCACCGGGTTCAGAGCCTTCTTCGCCCCAGCCTCTCAGTGCCCGGGCACAGCTGTCTGAACCACACACACACACAGGCCTGCCACAGCCAGGACCTCTCTCTCTTTTGACATTTCCCACGTGTGCACAACCCATTAACCCTTTGGAGATAGGCCGGCCTGTTTGGAGTGGGGGTGGGGGAGAAAAGCTTTGAACTAGGTGGAAGGCTGGCTGACTCCAGACCAAATTCTCACCCAGGGAGTCAGCCACTTCCCCTCCCCACACCTCAGTCCCTTCCTGGGGGGAGTAGTGGCTACCAGCCTCCAGAGGAACAAGTTGGCTAGCTAGAAGATGAAATCCAAGAGGTCCGGTGAGGCAGACAAGGCTCAGCTCCACCAGGGGACCGGCTAGCTGTGTGACCTGAGCCAAGGGATTCAACATCTCTGGGCCAGAGATGATACATCAACTGATTCAAACTTGTCACAATGTTAAGTAATGTGGAGCTTGGCCACGCACAGCCTAACCTACCGGAAGCAGTTTAAAGGGGACTTGGTCAGTCAATAAAATAGTACAATGGTTACTAGCATGGTTACTAAGCAAGGGACTGGGATTCAGAGAGGCTGGAGTGAGCCGGGGATGGAAAGGCGGGCAGGAGTATTACCTGGGAGGCCAGGACATGTTGTTGAAGGTGGAAGGGCAGGGTGGCAGCCGATGCCCCGGACAGTCCCTGCGCTGCGGCAGCAGAGGCCATGGCTGTGGAATCTAGGCCGGAGACGCCGGTGGATGCCCCGGATACTGTGGCCAGCAGGGGCCCCATGCCCGCAGCCATGCTGGAGAAGGCGCCGCCCATGGCGAACTGGCCCGGGTGCAAGAAGAGAGGATGCCCGTTGAAGAACTGCTGGCCAGCCAGGCCTGGGGCGAAGCCCAAGCCAGGAAGGGGCCCCTGCGCCAGGTGCGCGGCGGCGTCCGTCTGCACCGACAGTGGCGTGAAGGCGTCCTTGGCGGGCAGCGGACGCACCTCATCCACCTTGACAGCGCCCGGACCCTCTCGTCCGGGGCTCCTGCGCTCGTCGGCTCCCGGGACGCGAGTGCTGGATGAGATGGTGGCCGGGCTGTGGCGCGAATCAGGCGATGCCTTGTCCAGGCGCGCAGTGTCTCGGGCTCGACCGGGTTCCGCGGGGAACAGCTGCGCCCTGGTGGCCGGGCTGCCCTTGTCTCGGCCTGGCTCCTCGGCGGTGGTGGTGGAAATCTTAGCGGCGTCGCAGGCCTCGGGGCCCTGCTCCTCCTTGCTTTCGGCCTCGGCGTCACTTTCAGCTTCGCTGGGACACAAATCTTGGGGAGGAGAGGAAAACGCCAGGGGTAAACCGGCGATCAGTCTTGTTTCCGTTTAAACCCCACCTCCCAGCCCGGCGCGGTGGCGCAATGCCTGGCATGCCACTACTGAGGCATCGGAGACAGGAGGACAGCCTGAAGCACAGAGGGAGACTATCTCAAAAACTAACCGAGATTCCCAATTGGGAGCTTATTGGCTGTGTAACCCCGGTGCAAGCCCCTCTGCACAGTTAAACCCAAGAAAAATCTCAAGGGTTAAGACTCGGCTCAACCTCCTCCAGCCAGGCCCCCAACGCGCAGCTTTTCTTATTGTAATGATTCTCCTTTAAAACAAAACAAAACCAGAAAGAAAGCTCCTACGGAGTCAAAACTTTCTCTCACAGTTCTCCCATTGGATTGCAAATTCGCTTTTTAAAGATGAAAGCTCAGAACTCTGCTGGAATATATTCCTGTCACCTTCAGAGTCTTTGGCTCCCAGGGGGGGTGGAGGTCAGGCGCTTCCACAAATTGGTGACTATTTTGGATTTGTTTGGAAAGAATCCTGACATCTGAATGGGCACAAGAAAAACCTAGCACCCTCCCTCCCCAGGAGCCTTCCATGTTCGCCCCAGTTCCTACAAAGATGGGTGGTGGACCATCAGATCCCTTTTATTTATTTATTTGGGTCTCTCTTCCACCACACCCTCCCTCTGTGGGTGTCCTACCGGACCAAAAAAGAAAGAAAAATGAACCCCACTTTATGTTAAAAGCTTAAATGGATTGAAGACAGAAAGAACTTTCCATTTTATTTCACTTAAAAACAGGTTTCTTCCCGTTGAGAGCTGTCTTTCTAAATAAATGCTACCTGCTCTTTAAACAGAAAACTGGCTCAAGATTCAAACCATTTTTTCTACTTCTACCCCTACCTCCCAAAGCTGATCCCCAAGGGCTCCTCCCCCAGGTCAGCTGTGGCTTTTCCTCGACCACCTCCCCTGTACCAGGTGGCTGAGAATCCCCGGCCTTCTCCCAGCCCAATACATTTTCACCCAGAATTCAGTTGGAGGTTGACCAGCAGCTGGTTATTGTTGATTGGAAAGAGGAGACCGGAGGGAGTTGAGAATAAGGGACAGACAGAGAAAAAGAGGAGTGTTTCAGGTGCTTTGTGCAACTGTCCTTGCCAAGAAAACACACACACACACACACACACACACACACACACACACACACACGCTGCATGGGATTATGGGGAAGGTGTTCCAAATTCTCCTATGTTACCCCCACTTCCACATAACTCTTGCTTGCAGCTTCTAGAAGGGTCTGCATCTTCTAAAGTGAATCTGCTGGCTCAGGATCTTTCCTTACTTGGAAGGCCTCAGGGCCAAGAAGACAGAGGATGCCGGGCATACTTACCTTTGAGGTTGGATGTCCCCACCGTGGACACGGCTGGAGAGGAGGCCTGGGCGAAGCAGTTGAAGGCTGCCTGCTCACTGGAGGACTCGTCTGAGGTCCCAGTCTCCTTCTTGTGTCTCTCATCAAACACCCTCATGGACTGCAGGGTGAGCTGCTTTCTGAGATAGAGGCCCACACCCATCATTAGAGAATGCCACATACACTTCCCTTCTTTGTTTTCTTCCCCCCACTTTCCGGAGTGGCATGCACCTCACCCCACTGGCCAACACGAAGTCTGTGAAATGTGCTGGCCCCAGGGTGACCACACAACACAGACCCCAGCATTGTTCTTGACTAGTTTAACTGGGAGGAGGCCTATGCATTAGGAGAGAACTTGGCTTGGGAAATCTTATTTAAAACTTTGGGACAGAGGCTAGAGTTGGCCAGAGACAGTTACACTACTGGTCGGTCTTATTGGGGAGGGGCGTGCTGTGTACACCCAGCTCGCCAAACCCCTGCATGGGCACTAAGATGGGCAGGAAGCATTCATTACATGGCACACGCAACCGTAACCAGTTCCCCAACACATGAATTGGAGTTTAAATTTATTTCAATGCTAGAAATTATTTTTAATGCACAGCCCCAGGGAGATAAACTTAAAAAATTGGTAGGTGATTTTTCTGGATGGTAGAAAATCTTTGAAAAGGGGTGTAGAGGTGCACAGCTTTTTCTCTGGTCTATTTATATAGCAAAAAATGGATGCGGATACCCAGGAATGAAGGAGGAGGGGGGAAGGTGCCCTGGATTTCTCAAGGGGCCTCAGCTCCAGTCTGGTGCTATCTGAGAGACGAGGTTGCAAGACTCAAGAAGAATTTGTGAATGGCTTGGTCCCTTCTTGGGTCTTGCTCAGGACAAATACCAATTAACTAACAATTAATGGGCATCCTTGTCACCTGTTACCCCTGAGACCATTTTCTGGTCAGAACCCCAGCTGTCAACGCCTTAGTTCCCTAAAGAACAAGCAACACAGAATATTCTCTACCTGGGCCACCACAGAGCAAGCGAGAAGACGTTGACTCCCCCACCCAACACACACACACTCAATCCAAGTCTCTTGCACCTCATCTCTAATACTTCCAAGTTCAAGCCCAAGAAAATAACTTCCCCCAATTATCTCCCGAAATTAAAAGTCTCAGCTCACCTTTTTTCTCTCCTGCCGTTCCCAGTGTCCCGAAAACCCTTTGCAAAAGGATTGTTGTCTATTTTTAACTGAGTTATCTAGAGAAAACACACAAGCAAGACAGACTTTAGCTTCACTTTCTAGAATGTTCTAAATGTGCCCCTCCCCCACTCCCCAGTCTCTGTCTCTCCCCTAGAGATGTGACTGCCCAGGGAGTCACAAGGATGGACCAATTAAAAGCCAGAGGGGAGATGGTGGCAGAGAACTAGGAAGGGGCTGAAACATCCAAACAGATTGTAGTAACATTTAACGTTTCTGGGAGCCAAGCAAGGATTCCACACTGAAATTATCCAAAGAAATTCCCTCTTTTGGACACTTTAGATTTAGGCACAGCCTAAAGATCTGAGTTAGTAGGCTTCTGTTTTGATTTATTTTTTAAATACAGCACAGTTAATTATAAAGTATGTTAAAATGCAATTTCCTGCTGCTTTCCAACCCTCATCACATATAGGTATGTACACACACACACACACACACACACACACACACACACACACCCTATACACGAAAACCTTTTCTGTGAATCTAATAAAATTAATTATGGGATTTCGCTACCTTGTACTACAGTGACACCCCCCACACACACACCCCAGGCAAGAGTGGAGTTGGAAGAATTATAATGCTGAGGACTTGCAGATTTAAAAGAAAGAAACATCACTGGTAATATTTGTTTTCATTTATGTTACTTTGTTGTTTTTTCCCCCACCACCATTAGGTAGAGCAGGACCTCAGCCTCTGATTTGTTTAAAGTCATTAAAGTAACAATCTAATTGATGTAACTTTCACAGGATTCTGGGTCTAAGAGCCAGGCTTGAAGATTGTTATCTTTAAAAATCTCTCTGGTAGAGAAACTATGTATCCAGTTACTAGGAGGTAGAAACCTGTGCTTTGGTTTAGAGTCCTGTTCTTTAAAGGATGTCAGACACCAGGTTTTGTATGAGACATGGAGAGGAGCGGGTGGTGACTTAGCATTCACACTAGGAAATGTGACAGGGACCAGGGACTGACCATGAGTTCAAAGTACAAGGTGTTGCCAGGTGAGGTGGACTCTCCCTGAGGTCCAGGGCTCAAGTGAAGAGCCAACAGGGGTCCTCACCCCCTTCCCCACCCACCCACAGTTGCCAAGCTCCATGCTGGGGAACCACCATCAATGGACACTCTTCGCTGGGCCCCTGTGTTCAGTTCCCCTGACCTGCAGGCCAGGAGAACTGCAGGTCCCAGGTGTGGCCCCATTCAGGAGCCCTTTTTAATCCCCAGCTTCAGGCCCAAGGGAGCAAAACCTTAAGATGAACTAGTGAATATGAGATAGTGACTATTCCCACCTTTAAGAGGGAAGCCTCAGACAGCTCAATTAACATAACCCCCTGTATTAGAGTGCATCTTTACACACCACCACCACCACCACCACCACCACCACCACCAGCAGCAAGAGCAAAAGTAATTAAAACCAATCATGTATTCAGGATTTCTGGCTATGAGAGGAGCTCCCATCTCTACTCAGAGTCTCTAGTCAGGGTCCTAGACACTGTCCATCTTAAATTGCTACCTGGTTCCTTTCAGTACTGCATTTTTTTTTTTTTTTTTTTTGGATCCTTCCCCCTGAAGAGGATGAGCTAGAAAACATTAGGAGACAAGCCCCTGGGGCCCCAGCAGGGACTGGAATAGCAGTTTAATACAAGTTTAAGAGTCCCAGCTGAGAGGGGAGTTTTGCACCTCCCACCCCCACCCCACCCCCCTCCCCAGGAATCAGCCTTCTCTCCCCAAGAAGGTCAAATCACACAATGAAATTCCAGACTTTCTGTCCAATGCCCTAATAACTTTCTCATTGATAGCAAGCAAGCTTAAAGGGGTAGAGGAAAATGCCCTGTGGGTTACCTTGTCATTTTGGTAGGCAGTCACGGCAATGAATTCCGTTTCCGGGAACAGGTATGTGCGAAATGTACTATAAGGCAGCTTCAAAATATCATTGGCTCTGACGATGTGGAACCGGGGCTGGTACTTATGCATAGAGTTGAGTATGGTCTGTAGAGTGGGGGAGGGGGGGATGACGACGACGACGACACATGCACATTAAAAGAAAGAAAGAAGGAAAATGATTTAACAGGACAAATGAGATCTCAGGTCCCCTGCCAAGCCGACATCGTGTCCCCACTGTTGGGTCCAAAGCCCCACCTCCTTGGGTACATTTCACACCACAGGATCTATCTTCTGGAGACTTTCAAATTGTTCCTCAGCTTCTAAAGCGTGCCCCCCCACCCCACCCTCACCATCTACATATTCATTCGTACCTTGAACCCTAGCCTACCTGGGTCCCAAAACTATAATTCCCCTGCCACGTTGCGTGATCGCTTGGGAAGGCCAAAGTCTTAAAAGATAGAGAAAAACATGCATTTTAATTTACAAAATGATTCAGTACTTTTAAGCGCCCACTAATTGACAAGCCCAATCCACTTAAGGCCTTGAGAGGCTGCGCTCTAGAGAGGAATATTTATGCCCTAATCAAATCAAGGGCTTCAAATGCAATCCCTGTCCGCTTTAGATATTTCCGAACCATTCGCGTCTTCCTGGGCCTAATCTTTCTGCTTATCCCTCGCTTATCACTTTGTTTATTCTATTGAAATGCTGGGGAGGGGCAGAGGACAGGCAAAGGTCCCCTGGCCTGACTTTCACAGGCGACCCAAGTCTATCCTTAAAGTCTGTAAGCACATTCACTCACGGAATCCACATGCATTCCCCAGGACACACACACACCGTTTCTCTCTTAACACCACAGATTGAAGCTTGTTCCTTTTACACCTGACTTTCACCCAAGCCCAGATCACTTTCAGCAAAAGAAAATACACTTTAAAAAAATGTAGTCACAGCCTTGGACCAACACAGTAAAGGCTTCGAACTTTCAACTCGCCCAAGATATGGCGTGGCTGATTTCAAAGAAATAAAATAATATTTCTAAGCAAAATGAACCCTGTCCAAATACAAAACTTTAAAAATTGATTCATAACTTTTTTATTCCTAGTATTACTCTACACGTCCAGGTCCAGCACCCACCCAGGACACCTATTGCTATTCCGGTAAATTCTTCTAGAATGTCAGGCCTTCCATTATCCAGGAAGCAAGACACCCCCCATCCCCCCAATCCCGAAATCCACTCTGCAACTAGGTTGCAAACTGAACAAAGTTGGCTATGTGTGGCAACCAGCAGCCAGAGAGGGGTCTGGGCCCAAATTCGGTTTACCAGGAAGCCATACTTCCCGGAGAATCTTACTGATAGTCAATGAAACTTACAAATCCGTGTTTATCCGATATGTTGTTGGTGAGTTTCAGTTTGTGGAAAGTGACGACTTTGGACATCCACTGCTCCCCCGTGGCGGGGCTGTCCGGGTGTATGTACATTCTCTTTGGCATTTCGGGGTCCGCCTTACCGGCCACCATCCACCGAGAATTGTGAAATTTGTATCGGCAGTCGTCAGCAGCTATAATGTCCATCAGTAAAATATACTTGGCTTTTTTATCCAGCCCAGAGCACCTCACTTTAAATGGAGGGAACATTCTCCTACAAAGAGCAAAGCACAAAAAAAAAGGGAAATAAATAAATAAGATGGGGTAAATGGCTCAGGACCTCGGACTTGGCTTCCAAGCTGTTTGGCACCATCTAAAAGCATAAGGCTTTCTGCCGGGACCAGGGAGTCTGTAAGGCAACTCTGAGTCAAATTGTTTACTTCCACACTGACATTAAAAATGCTCAATTTCCCATTGTTTTTCTACCCCAAGCCTCAAGTCAAATTAATTACAGCAACCTCTTGTCTCTAAAAGGACCTACTATTTCTTTAAAAAAAAAAACAAAAACATGTTTGCCTGTGTGGCTGTTTAGATTGCCCTCTGTAAAGAGGAATGAATTCTTACCTAAGTTTTTTTCTTTCTTTCTTTCTCAGTGTATCTAGTTTGAATCAGCTAGAGGTAAGTAGGGCTCTAAGAAACAGTGGTTCATAAAGGTTAGGCTCTTGCACTCTCCCACTGATGAGAAAACATTAAAGCTTATCGAGGAAATAAATACCCAGTTACGGCGTGAACGGGTAAGCCCGAGGCTGGCAGAGTATTACAGTGAGTTCTCAGAACGGAGGTTGGAGGCAGGCAAGCACCCGGGCCTGGTAACCCATCCGTGATTTAAGCTATAAACCGCATTCCTCTACTCTGTAGGCCACTGCAAGATCCTGCTGTTTAATCTCACAGAAGTGCTGGCTTTCTGTACTTTTGACTTAAAAGGAAGTACTCAGTTATGAAAACCAACTAAATGTCTTGTGGGTTGGAGAAAGATCTGAGGCCAAACTTCGGCCTCAAGTAGTTTGGAGGGAGACGGATAAGTGGGGGGTTTTATTTTCGTGCCCTCTCAACTGGTATCCTGATAAACCTCAATACTACAGACATTTTTTTCTTTTCTTCAAACAGTGGTTTTAAATGCTGGTCCTGGGGTCCTCGCTTAGAAGCTTGTTTCGGTCAGGCAAGGACGCCGAACGTTATGTAAAGGATTAATATTCAAACACAAAAACAGGGCACACAACCTCCTGGGTTCCTTGGGTCTACACACACAACCTTAATTATCAAGAGTGCCTGCTCTGCTCGCTTGTCCCAGGACTTGCAGACCTGCTAGAGGGCAATGGGAAAGGAAACCCAAACGTCCTTCGCCCTTCCATTGATTTCTCTCTGTCCCACACCAGGCAGGTTTAGGCCCCCTTCAGCGCCAGTAACTAAGCTGAAGAGGAGAAGAGGCCGGGGAGACTACCGTACAAGAGGGGGCTGTAAGTGTCTGTCCTGGGAAACACAACCAAACAGACAAAAAACGAAACAGAAATAAAGATATTTTAGAATGGCTTTACAAACGGGATTTCTGCAACAGGGTGCTTTTCTCGATTGCTACAGAAGTCAGCGTGCGAGACCTTCAAAGGAAAACACCCTCTATCCTGTAGGGAACTCGGGATACAGGTCCCCAAGAACCCTGCAGTGGGCCCAGGTAGGCTGAAATATCCTGACCCTCAGGCAGGGCCCAGGAGTCTCTACAATTTTTTTTGTGGGGGTGGAGGGGTCGGGGGAGAGGAAGTTTTCGTCCTAAACGTAACAATCAGGTAGAATCTACGGTTTTTAGAGACAGACAAAAGACATGAAAAACTTTAGATCGTTTGGGGAGGAGGATCCCCACTGATCTCTTACCTCCCCGACTTCGTAATGACCATCTCTGTACCCCGCTTGTGAAACTGGTCCCAAAGTTCCTTGGCCTCCAGGTGCACTTTGGGGTCGTCTTCCACGTCCTCTTCGGGTTCCATGGTCTTCAGAGGCCTCAGATGTGCCTGGGGTCCCAGGGATGAGAAAGGAATGCCGGTCTCCGCGGCCCCCACCAACTGATCCATGATGGGCTTGGCCAGGGCTCCCGGCAGGGAAAGCGCTGCAGCGCCGTTGGGAGGCAGCGTTAGCGCGGGGAAGAAAGGCGGCTGGTGGCCCAGCACCGCGCTCATGGCGAAGTCCGGCGCCCGGTGAGGTAGGAACGGATGATAGGCCATGCTTGTCCCAGGGATAACCGGATCTCTCATGGAGAGGCTCATCCACTCCAGACAGGGAACCAGTCCGCAGCTGCTGGCTTGGCTCCGCTTTTGTGTTTGCTTTTCAAAAACAATAAAAAAAAAAATTCAACAGCAACACATAGTTTTGTTTTGTTTAAAATTAAAAAAAAAAAGGAACAAATCAGAACTAAAGCTTTTGAAAGGGAAGGGGGAAGTGTCTTTGGGGGAAGAGAACGCGGCTTTTAAAGAGGGCACGGAGGCGACAGCTCGGGAAACATTGCCGCTGCAGGGGCTGTCCTGGCGCGTGGAGTGTGTTTGAAAAGCCGCTCCTGGAAGTCGGTTTCAGTAGGGCGAGCGGCGAGCAGAGGCTCGACTGGCGCCCGAGCCCTGTGGCTTAGCTGGAAATAGACACACAGCCTTTTCCCGGGGTGGCTCCCCGGCTCCCACGCTCTTTGTTGCCAAAGCGCAAGGTTCTCCGAGACTTTCTTTCTTTTTTTTTTTTTTTAAACCTTTTTTTCGTCTCCTTCCCCCGCCCCCTAGCTCTTCTCTGGCTTTCTCGCAGGAGGCGTCTTAGTTGAGCTACATAGACTCTTGCTTTCACAGGCAGCGAGATCAAGGGGGAGGAAAAGTCTCTCCTTTAAAAAAAAAAACTGATTTAAGCCCCCTTTCCAGCGACGTTATCAAAACTCGTAACTACGAAGCTGGCTTCGGTTCGCGCTCCTCCTCTTCTCTCTGGCTCCGAGCTGCGCGCAGTGTCTGGGTGGTGATCCGAGGAGTTCCTGCGATCTTCTGCCTCCGGGACTCGGCTGTCTTCCTTATGCTAAAAAAACGTGAGCGAAATCGCTTTCCTAAAAATAATAAATTAAAAAAAATCAGCGTCCGGGAGCGCAGGGCGAGCGAGGATCGAGAAAACGGGTGCAAAAAAAAAAAATAGGAAAGGAGGAAGAGACGGGAGTGATTGGGAGCTGGAGTAGGCGAGTAGAGGGAGGGAGAGAGAAAGAGAGTGAGCGAGCACCTCGCCACCCTCCTCCGCCTCTAGAATTCCCCGGGCGTCTGCTCGGCGGCTCTGGACGGTCGGGCTGCGCTGTGGGCTGCGGGAGCCCGAGGCTTGTTGATTGGCTCTTTGACGCTTTCGGACCAATTGTGTGGCTGCATAGGCGTGGTTTTCACAGGTCGAGTGCTGGGGGAATAGAGCCGAGTTATAAAAAGAAGGTGTCGGAAACTGGAACGTCGCTGCGCAGCGCGGTACTACGGCCTGTCCTGCGTTTATGTCAACATGATCAGAAGGGAGGGCGGGGAGCCACCAGGGCGCCGCGCGCGCACCAAAGTCGCCTCTAGGTGGCTGTTCCAGAAGAGAGTTCTCAGCAGCCAGAGGAGCTCGCCCCGGCTCCTTCTCAGCTCAGCCCACGTCTGAAAGGCCTCAGCCATCCAAGCCCCGGGGATCCGGGGAGGAGGCAGGGCTAGGGAGGAAGGGGGAGGGAGCGAGGGCGGGAGTCAGGCAGCCTGCCCGGCAACCGAGGCGCCGAGCAGGGGCGCTCGCCTCTCGCGCGCTCCGAGCGCTGCAGCTCAAGCCCGCTGCCGCTTCTCTGTGCAGATCTGCAGCTTCTTCCCTTTGCCGGGCCCCGGGCTAGCCAAGCCGGCCGCGGAGCCTCCCATTCGGCCAATGCGCGTGAACAAAAGCTCCAGGCTTGCGCGGCTCTGCAGCCCCACGTGGAGACGCCTAGCCGCCTCTAAGTCCAGTCCTTTAGCTCGCGCGCCCGGGTACTCCGGGTTCCCAAGCTACGGGCGCATGGGATCCCACAAATCTTCCTCTCTCCCCGAAGCGTGCTCCCCACCCGCAGGCACGTCAGAGACCCACACGCCCCCTGGGTGTCTGTACCTGAACCCGCGCCCACACACTGGGACCGAGTCCCACGCGGAAAAACACACGCAAACACGTACAAGGCCTGCGCGCCCGGCCCAATCTAAACTCGCTCTGCTATATGGACTACGTTTTTTTTGTTTGTTTGTTTTTCTTTCGTTTTTTAAAAATGTATTTACTGACCCTTTTGAGCCCCGTCCTCTTCCATTCGAATGCGGATACCAGAGTTCCACCCGGATGGGGGTGTGGGTGTAGAGAGAACGAAGCCGCTGGAACAAGTGAGTGCAGGGACCGCAGGCCTGACTTCTTCAAGCCTCTGTCCTCACCTCCCGGCCAGCTCGGCGGGGAGCTGCCGTCCTGGGTGAGGAGAGTTGGTTGGGGGAGGTGCACCAGTCTGGTATCTTCCCTAGGCATCGCACTTATCTCTTGGTGCCTCGATTCCTTCTCCACCCCGGGGACTTATCTTGGCAGAAGTCGGGGGCGAATTTGTAAAACAAACCGTGAAACGCACCCCTCTACCCCAGAGGTCGGGAGACTGGGTCCCTGCTCATCCCAGGGTGGGGAGGGAGGCAGACTGACTGCTGGGACTTTGATCTGGTAACCCTGTTACCGCAGCCCTTGCTTGGGGTCAGAGGAGTCCCCGCCAAACCCATAGTCCTTGAAGGTGGAGGAGCTGGGCCACCCCAGTTTAAGTAGAGGGCAATCTTTGCAGATTTTTTTTTTTTTTTCGTTTTCCTGGGACAAGACCTTCTTTGCCTGGAGAGGGAACAGAAAAAGGGCTGGTTTCCGGGCCTAGCGATTAAGTTTTGAGTGTTTTTTGTGTGGACCATTTGCGCCTAGATTTTTTCCCTTGAGGATCCCCCTATCCCAATACACCCTCTCCAACTGCAGGTCCGAACTGGCAGCTGCTGGGTGAATAGGCAGTTCCCTCTCCCAGATAGGGAAGAACGTTTGAGGCCACGAGCTTTTCCAGTCTAGCATATTTTGATGTACAAGGTTAAGAGCGTTCGGCGCCAGCCCTGAGTTTTCCTGATGCGGCCAATGAGAACAGAGTCGTTCTGTGAACTTGGTCTGACTCGCCATCTCGCCCCCTTTCTTTCCCCTTCTTAGCGGTCTGTCTCCTGTGTCCACGGTCCAGAAGGAAGGGAGAGGGGGGGAGAAACGAAAGAGGAGGTGATACCCCAGGCGGTGGCTCATAACACCCCTTCCCCGGTCTCCTGTTCCAGATCACCGAGGGTGCAAGAGGCCAGGCCAGGCCCCTCTCTGCACGGGCCACGGAGGTCACCGCTGATTCTCTGCAAGCAGGAGGCTCCCCTCCCCCTCCGCGCCTGGCCACTCTAGCCAGAGCAGCCCCTAGAACCCAGAGATCCGCTTTGCCTGCTAACCTCGGTGCGCCCGCGTGGAGTGCAGGAAAATAATTGTGGTGTGTTTGACCCTTCCTGGTCACCCACGCGGTGCCCTAAGGTTCCACGGGCTAGCCAGAGAGACCTTGGCAACGGATACCCAGCCTTCTGGCCTCGGGGGTCTGCCCTGCAAACGCCAGGCGAGCTCGCTGACTTTGCATGCAAATATCTGGCCTTGTTTTTTTGGCTCCGGCGTGGACCCAGAGCAATTTCTGACCCTCACGTCACCCCCCACACAAACACCCTTCAGTCGCCTATTTTTGACTGTAGCTCTAGCTTAACCCTGGGGTCACCCCAGTTTGCCGCTTCTGGCTTCCACCCCTCACTCCAGTGCGCTAGGGAAAGGAGGGCGGGGGGCGGGGGCGGGATGTGGAAGAAAGTTTGCGGGATTCTGAATCGAAAATGTCTACATGTTGCTAATGGTCTACAAACTTCCGCCAATTACGACTGACCTCCCAGACGCTGCCCCTGGAGGCTCGTGTTCTGTTAGGGAGGCCGCGGCGATGGAAGAAGGATCAAAAGCCAGAAGGTGCGAACTCCTCTTCGTCTTTGCGTGCCGCCGCGCCCCCCTCCTAGTGGGTGATAAACCCACTCTGGCGCCGGCCGTGCGCTGGGTGATTAATTTGCGAACAAACAAAAGGGGCCTGGTGGCCACTGCATTAGGGTTAAACATTGGCCAGCGCCTTCCTCGGGCTTATGGCAGGCCTGGCCTCCCGGAGAAGCCACAAGGTTAGCGCGCCTTGAGCCCCCGCGTGAGCCTGCAGCGGCTGACCCTCGGTGCGGGCTCATTCTCTTTCTAGACTCATTGATTAAATTTAGCCAGTTTTTTTTTTTTCTACAGACCTGGGGAAAGAATGGAATCCGGTGTCCCTAGAAGAAATGTACACCCCCCCCACACACACACACCTTTAGCGATAGGAAGTTTTTTTTTACCCTCTTTGCACTATAGGGACTGGGATTTTGAACAAGATAAAAAACTTTGCAGCTTTTGAGGCAAAAGAGGAGATACGGGGCTTCAAAGTGTGTGTGTGTGTGTGTGTGTGTGTGTGTGTGTGTGTGTGTGTGTGTGGTGGCGGGGGTGAGACAGGAATCACACGCCTCAGCCAACTGTCCCGGCGGCGGCGGCAGGCATTAGCGAGCCCCAGAAATAGGAAGGCGTCTCTGCAATATTCCATTTTCCCTGTGGCACCTCCTGCCTCACACTCTAAAGGGGACACACTGACCCTTTGTGACGGAATGGTGTTTATCTGAAATTTACACACACACACACACACACACACACACACACACACACACACACACGCACGCACACCACGGAGCGGAGAGGGTGTGGGTGGGGTGGTTGGCTTCGGTAACTTTTGCTTTGCTTGCGTGAGGTCTGGAGGGGACTCTTAAACACTCTTAAACATTCGCCCTGGGTTCACCATGCAGCTTTATTCAGTCCGAGGTGTCACTACATTGGACGTCTTGTTGACAGGAGAGCAAGGAGCTTCACCTGGGGAGTCCGAGGCCTGATTATGAAATTGGAAGAAGTCAAGATTATTAACTTGACGGGGGAAGGAGTTCTTGGTACTCTGGCAGGGTGGAAATGGCTTTTTTGGGGCCCTGATGCCCTGGCTGATTTGATCCTGGGGTCTCAGCCTCCTTTTCCATTCTCCCGTGGGGAGAAGAGGTTTCCTTATGGTAAGCCTTATGGTCCAGCCTGGTCTCTTTGGACACCTGGACTACCTTAACCCTTCAGGTCCCCTCCCCACTAGCACCACTTATACACACTTGAGGGCTCCTGTCTACTTCAGCTGCACACTTTTCGTCTTAGAGGAAGCCTGGATTCAAGGTCTTCCTTATCTCTGGTTCCCCCAAACTTGCTGGAAGAGCTTGGTTTTCTCTGGGCTGGGGGCTTGGTCCCTTTGGGAAGGGGCACATTATTTTTCTTGACATTTTGTCAAGGCAGAAAATACCACCTCACTCTTCTTTCCCTCCCTCTAGCTTCTCTGTCTTTCCCTTCCTCCCTCCCTCCCCCTCTCTCTCTCTTCCCTCTTCTTTTTCCTCCTTCCTTCTTTTCTTTTTTCTTTTCTCTCTTCCTTCCTTTCTTTCTTTCTTTCTTTCTTTCTTTCTTTCTTTCTTTCTTTCTTTCTTTCTTTCTTTCCTGTCTCCCTCTTTATCTCCTGTCTCTGTTCCTGTCCACTCTGAGTTCTTTGAATGCACACATGTGAGCTTTCTCTACATTTCCTTGCATGACCCTGTTTTTCTCATCCTCGTGAATCTCATGTTCCATTTTTCTCTCTCTCTATCACCCAGCCCTTGCTTCTCTTGTTTCCTTATGGGTTTTAGTTTTTAATTTGCTATCTTGTCTACTATTTCTTTCTTTCTGTTTTCCCTGGCTGTCTTGGGTCTTTCTAAATTCCTTCCTGTTATTCTACGATGCACCCCCTTCCCCGCACCCCCCTTTTCCAGTTACCTTGACAGACTAGAGGGGCCTCTTCCCCCGGGTCCTAACAAACACCTTTGCCTCCTTGCTTTGGCTGGGAGAGATGAAAACACTGGCTTGGCCCATTAGCTTTTACCT